CTCCTGGCCCTCCGGAAAGCCCTTTGGTTCAGGAAGGTGTTTACTCCAGTTTTTCCTGGCGTTTGCAAGGACCGAACCTGTCGATCTGTCGATCAAGAAACTATCTAGTCGCCTGGGCGCCGCTCGCCACTCGCCACAGGCGAGTGTGGCAAATGGCTGCTTCCAATTTTGCTAGAGGAGACGATGGAGAGAGAGATTTCCCGGCCTCATTCAAAGCGCCAGACAAGAAGGATTCCTCCGTGCTCAAGCCTGCTCCGGTTTTCTCTGGATCTTCCTGGCCCTGCTGCACCATATCAGGCCTCAACAAGGCGGACCGAACCAATCCTTTCATGCTCGGGCACACGGCATGGCACGGCTGGGTTTTCCGTGGTGGCAAAGGGGGTGAAAACCAAGGATTTTATGTTATTTTTATTTATTTTTGTAGCAAAGATGCCAGAAATTCTAAGTTCCTCTCTCAAACATTGGTCATGCCCTCACATGTTCTTGCTAAGGGGAAAAAATAGTATTGCTCTTTGTCTCCATCAGATATTTTTCTCACTTTTTTTGGTCTGGCATGTTTTTTCCAAAAGGAAAATCTCACTAGCGCTTACCTCCGAGAAAAATTGGGTGTGCAGGAAGGTAAACTCCGTTTCCTTTCCCCCTGTGCCCCGCTCTTAAGCCCCCCAATGCTGCTCAGCCCACCCCTCCAAAGATCTTACGGCCAGGGCTGTAAACTCCGGGGTCAGCCCCTCTGACCCCTGCCCGAGGCGGGCCAAGAAGATTATTCATCTGTGTTGTTTTGTTCAAGAGAAATAGGCTCACTGGTGTGTCTGTGTGTGTGTGTGTTTTTTCCTTTCTTCAACCCCACCACACTACTCATCTGCGCTGTGAGTCAGCGGCGGAGTCTGAAACCAGTAAAGAAAAAGAGATTTGTGGACAATAGGTTTTAGAAAACATGTAGGAACAGGAAATAATACAGTGGTGCCTCGCTAGACAGTTACCCCGCATGACAGTTTTTTTCGCTAGACATTGACTTTTTGCGATCGCTATAGTGATTCGCAAAACAGTGATTCCTGTGTCAGCTTGTGGATTCTGGGATACGTAGTGCCTAGAAAGTAACTTTTCTAAACTTCAAGCAAAGGGCAAGCAGGAAAAGAATCTTTAAATCAGGCTGCATCAAGGTGGAGAAAAATGAGTAGAACTTCTCTCCCCTGTTTCAATTATTTTTCAAACTTCCCTTTGGATTGGCCAATGAATAAAATCTCTCTGGCAACAGATATGGGCAGGACAAAAGAAAACCATCTCTCCCCATGATGGGCCATTAGCTGAGGCATCTGAGGATGGATCAGCACAAACCAACTTTGAAAAAGGGATTATGCAAAATCGAAGCATCAAAGACCCGTTTTCTATTTGTTTGTTTTTTCTCCTGAGAGAAGTGGCTCCTGACACCTGAGTGGATTATCTTCCTTCCCAGTACTCTCTTTTCCAAGAGGAGACAGCCAAAAAAACCGGAATTCCAAGTTTTCACTGAGACGGGCGGCATCGGCTGAAAATCCATAATAATCCTCTGTTCAAAAATGCGGTCTCTTTAAAATCCTCATCCCCGTTGATTCTGTTTGCTGGCTGGATATATTTGGTGATGTTGGTTTTCTTTACAGTGGGTTTCCCCTACCTGCGGAGGATCGGTTCCAAGACCCCCGTGGATGCTGAAAAACGCAGATAATAGCAAACTCTCTTTTAATCGGGAGCATGGCATGGCCTCTGGCTCCCTTTAATGGCCAATACTGGTAACTTCATTTTTAGAAATACAGATCTCTAGGATTTTTCTTTTAAATTTTTTACAAAATTTCAGACTGTGGATAAGTGAATCAGTGCATACTGATCCCACGGATACAGAGGTCCTACTGAATTTGCAATCAGACATATCCAGCTGCATAGCCTACTCCCACACACTCTTTCTCTCCCCCCGTCTTACTTTTCTTTCTCTCGGTCTCCCCCTTTAACCCTTCCTTACTAATGTTCCCCTTTAGTCATCATTTCTCTTCCTCCCCTCAATGTCAGGGAGTAGATTCCTGCCTCTTAACTCTGACATTTGAGGGCCATGAAGAGGGGCGCATCCTACGGATCTGCCTAGAGAAAATGAAAAGGTGGAAAAAATGAATATTGCAGATTTTCTTTCTCTCGGTCTCCCCCTTTAACCCTTCCTTACTAATGTTCCCCTTTAGTCATCATTTCTCTTCCTCCCCTCAATGTCAGGGAGTAGATTCCTGCCTCTTAACTCTGACATTTGAGGGCCATGAAGAGGGGCGCATCCTACGGATCTGCCTAGAGAAAATGAAAAGGTGGAAAAAAATGAATATTGCAGATTCCTCTCTGATGCTTAGGGGAAATCTGACACCTAGTGACTGAAGATAGTACTGCAACATGCAAAAGGATTATAACAAACTGAAACGCAGTGTGAAACTAAGATCAGGGTTTTGAATCTCTAAGTTTTACACTCGGAATTGTGGCAGTCGGCTGCGTACGTGCCTTTATTATGTTTGCAGATGATTTCTGCACTTCTCCCTCCACCCATGTTTTATCCTTTCAAACATAGGATGCCATAGGTCCATATGGATCGGGACAAGATCATCTAGGAGGTTTCACAGTGGAATCTCGAACCCAGATCCCCCAAATCCTAGACTGCCACTCCAAGCACTACGCCACACTGGCTGTCTTGTTGCTAGGGTGCTGAGAACGTGCAAAGAACTCTTTTTGACTGCCTGGCCGGCTGCCCCTTCCAAGCCTCCTTGCCAGCAAGCATCTGTTCCTCTGTTTTCTTTCAGAACACGGCGAGTTATACTGTATATTGGACCTCCTTTCAAACCCGTTTTCACAGTCCTACCCATGCTGAGGTGAGAAGGGGGAGTGGGGTGTGTGTCACGAGGCCCCTTTTTTATAATGCTATGGCTTCTCTTCCAGAAATGGCCCCGGTCCCTAGTGAGGAAAGAGGCTGGATTTCCAAAGCTGGAAATTTTGACCTCTGTCAAGGGATCGGAGTGGGGAGAGCCATGGCTGGAGGGGTTTTCGGTTGCAAAATAAACAACGCTCCAAGCAGCTTTCCAGGGGAAGGAATGCAATGCACAGAAAAGAAGGGTGTAAATCGCCAGCCTCAACTTGTTGCTAAACCCACCTTTTTCTCTCCCCCCCCTTAGACTGGCAGCTGTTTTCCTTCCCCCGGGCCAGAGTCAGAGGTCAGGATGGTGTGGGGGTCAAAACCGGGCAGGGGAGGGGCGGCTTGACTTCTGTCCCTAACCTGAGGCAGGTTTGTGGGGTGCAAGGGGGAAGTAAGGCTAAGTTTTTAAACCTGGGACAACCTGCATCGCCCCACGGCTGGCCATTTTTTTAGAGGGCCGTACGGCTCAGATCAACAGGGAATGCGATATTTATGTGTACTCCTGTTTTTTCATCCTTAATCTGGCGCAAGAGAATGACGACAGAGTAGTAGATACAGACTGGCAATCCTATATAAGTCTACTCCACCGTAAATCTTGGTGTCTTCGGTGCCGTTTATGCCTGGATCAAGTCCCTGTGATGTACAGGATCACGGCAGAATAATACAACCTTCAAGTCTCTCCAAAAAGTCTGTATCTCTTTGGGCTCTCCTGATGTTTCGGCCCACAGTTCCCATCGGGCAGTGGCCCGGAATGATGGGATGGGTGGTTCCCACCCTCTGGAGAGCAGAAAGCAACTCTCCCACACACAAACTGCACAGGTGAACTCAGAAGTAATTTTTAACCACACACGTCTTCTGTTGCCCTGCTAGGAACTGTAGTTTACAGGTAGACTCTTTCTGAATCTGGGTGCTTGGTATGAATATGCCAAAGAGCAGTGAAGGATGGGATCCCTCCCCCCCCATCCCTGCACACACATCCCCAGCATTTAAACGAAAATTTCCAAAGAGGCAAGTGAGCACCACACCTTTTTTTTTTTTAAATTGGCTTTTCACATTTCATCTAAAAGAAGCAATCTATAAAACCTGTGTCAAGGGATCGCCCGACCCCTGCAGCCGCCCTGAGCTTTTAGGACGCGAAAGAGCATTTATTTAATTTTATTTAAAATATTTTTACCCCGCCTTTCTCCTCAACATGATCCGAGAACATCTGGATGAAGGACCCTCCCGCCCATTTACTTGCAGATACAGCTGCAGGAAGTAAGTTGGGGTGCATTTCTCTGCTCGTTTTAGAACGACGGTCAACGGGGACACCTCTCCATTTCCTCGAAGGCACCTTGCGGAAAAAGTGCCCTCGTTTTTAGAACAGCTGTCTCGGGATTCCCTTCACCAGGCCTGTCAGCTCGTATTTCTTCCAGTCCTTTGGCACCCTCTCGTGGAGGCATCTGTATCCTTCAGCCGAGGATGCAGACCGAGAACTCGGCCCTGGCAATGGAGATTTGCCCCCTCCTAGGGAAAGCAATGAGCCAGCATCCCATTTGTTGCAGGAAGTAAATCTGCATTTTCCCACTCCAGCAGACGCCCCCGCCCGGCCCTGTTGTGTGGCTGATCACACCACCACCCCTTGCACAATCAGTTTCACAAAGAGTACAACACCAAGCATGCAATGACATGGTGGTGGGGATCCTTAGGGGATGGTTTTTATCCCATCACCTAATTCAACAGGATTCCGACCACCATCTCTAAAGACGGTTCAAGGTACAGTAGGAACCCACTGTGATTGGTTCCAAGCCTTACCTTTCCCCCCCGCCCTGTGGATGCTGAAAAACACGGTTGATCGCAAACACCTTTTTAATAGCAAACACTATAAGGTGGTCTCTGGCTCCCTCTGATTGCCAGTTCTGGTAACTTCACCTTTAGAAATCTGCATTTCTAGGTTTTTTTCTCTTGCTATTTTTAATACTTCAGAGGGTGGATCAGTGAATCAGCAGATACATAACCCGCGGATACAGGAGTCCTGCTATATATAAATAAACAGAAGGAAATAGAAGTTCTCCTGGTCACAAGGAAGGCCAGTACTGCAACTAAGTTTATTAAAAAAGACTTGTTTTATTAGATGTTCGGATTTTGCTCAGCCAGAATCCCCCTCTTCCTTCAACTTCCTTTCTCACCCCACGCCTGGCACGAATGTTCACAGAGATCAATTCCTCTTCCGGCCTTTGCTGATGGCCTTGGCGGGCGCCGGCGCCGGCGTGGAAGACTGATATAGGGTGGACGATATCTTGTTGATGTAATACAAGGCAATCAGGGAGAAGATGCAACTGTAGGAAGAAGCAGATTTATTGCCACTTCTGCGTAGCATCCTTTTGTAAAAAACTACAGTGTCTGTATCCCTGCATCTGTGGGGGAATCACTTCCAAGCCCCCCCCCCCCGTGGATGTTGAAATACTGGTGCTAGTGGCAAGATTCTGGTAACGGGCCAGTTCTGGTAACTTTGTCTTTAGAAATATATGTTTCTAGACTTTTTTCTTTTAATATTTTTCATACTTTCAGACCGTGGAGCCGTGGATACGGATCCTGTGGATAAGAGGGTCCTCCTGTACAACTCCCAGAAAACCCCCTGCCGGGGGCCTCCTGGGGGCCCGAGCACAAAACCCGTATGTTCCCCCCGGATTGGTGCTAACCCCAAAAGAAGAGAAAGGCAGGAAAGATTAAAACAAAGGATTTTCTCCCATCTCGTATGAAAAAGGACCCACTGGAAAAACGGCGGAACTAAATGCAAGGGTGGGCGGAGCCAGATCCCAAAGTGGGTGGGGCCAACATCACCATGTGACTTTTTCTCGAACTGTGCCCGTTTTTCTATCTCTCACGAACACAGAAGCGAAACATTTTTTTTTCTTCGAGGGATGCTAAGGGAGTAGAACGCCAAGCCCACAACAGGGGCTCCCAACCTTGGGTCCCCACCTGTTCTTGGACTACAATTCCCAGAAATCCTGGCCAGCATCTCTAGTGGTGCAAAGCCTTCTGGGAGTTGCAGTCCACAAACCTCTGGTTGACCCAAGGTTGCAAACTGCTGCTAGAGAAACTGGTGCCAGAGAAAATTAGGACACCCACGTCCTGCCAGGTTCTTGCAGTTGTGGCGGGCTTCGTTCTGGAAGTTTCCAGAACCTTCTCTCGATTTCCAGAAAACCGAATTTCTTTCTCTCTCTGTCTCCTCCCCTTTAGTTCCAGGAACGCGCTACGGTTTTGATCTTCTGGGTCCAGCTGGATTTGCGGACACGGTGGCACAGAATATTCCACTTGGCCAGCCTCTTCCCACCCGACCCCCCCGCAAGCAAATTTAACATTGCCGTTCTTTACCAGGTGGTGACACAGACTCGATGGATCAATCCTGATGCAAACAGGGCCAACAGGAGGACGGTGATGACTGTGGAGGAGAGAGAAGAGAAGAAGGGTTGGAGTGAGGTCCGGGATAAGACATGATCGGTACGGTTGACCCAGAAAATTCAAATCACCCACACAGAGGTCTGTGATTTCCCTGTTCGCTACCTGGCTGTATCTCTTTGACTTACTTTCGGGAAAGATCTTGGCTTGAAACCCTTTTCCGAAAACCAGGTTTTCAAAATTGTTGAAGGCCTGGAAGACATTTGTTGTAAGGAAAACATCTGCCAAAAGTGGCATGCTGTACTTTACCGCTTTGAATGTACTTTTTTTGGAGTAGCTTTTCTTTACTATTTTTTAGTATGGTGTTTAGTTGATCCTTTTGACTATTTGTATACTTCCTGCTTTTAGTGTTAAATGTTGTATTTCAATGATACAAGCTGCCTTGGTTCCTCTTTGAGAAGACAGGTGGGGTAAAAATGTTTTCAATAAAATAAATAAGAATGAAAGATAAATTAATCTCCCGGATACTCCATCCGCTACAGGCTGTCCTGTCATGCTAGGAATCACTTTATACTTGTTTTCCTCACCACCCATTATCCCGGTTCAAACTTGCTTGCCAAAAATGATAAATACAGTACCAGCACGATTGTGTATGCAGGTATGTAAGTACCTTTGCTGGAGTGTTTTGAGTCAGCTGATGGAAGACGTTGCTGGCCCTTTGACAGAATGAATGGTGGGATTCAAGAAATGATAAATTGAGAATCACCATCTCATGCCACAAACCATGGTTAACACAGACCATGGTTAATACAAACCATGGTTTGTCGTGAGCTGTCCTGGATCAGCTGGCATGGAAAGGTGCCAACGTCAGAATTTATCCTGCTTGAACAGGATGCACCGCAGATGGGAAGTATTAGTCTTTTTGGGAATTCTGACAGTAACGTGTCCCGTCTCTGCCCCAAGGCTCCTGAAACCATTTTCCTCCCCAGCAAAGGAAGCCATTAAGGATACAGTCAGGGAGAATATGAAGAGCCCAGAGCCGAGAAGTCCGCCTTGAATGGTTAGCCACTCCGTGGAGGCCAGCTGGCGGCTGTACATCTGCATCCCTGTGAAAAGCAGGAGGGACAGGAGGGAGGAAAGCACCAGTGACGTTCCTGTGCCAACAGCTAGGGAGAAAAAACAACAACAGAAAAAGTGAGATGGCAGCTGCTGGTAAGAGGACCCCATTTTCCGGCTGGCGAGATGGCCGGGAAGCCCTGCCTGGGGAAACCGAACGGATGATCCACCAACAGAAGAGGTGGCGCAGAAAAGAGAGCCAGGGGCTGCTCCGAGGCCCATATTAAGACCCAGAATAAGCAGCCGGGGGACGCCCAGTCTCATCTCGTGGGTAAAGTGATGGACTAGGACTCCAGAGGCCTGGGTTCGAATCCCCACCCAGCTGTGGAAACTCACTGGGGGCGTGTGGCACTGGTCAAACCACTCCTTAAAATATCTCGCATGCCCTCCCTGTTAAGGTCGCTATCTGTCAGTCCCGACTTGACATCACCTAACAAGCACCCTGGTGCCCCCCCTAAGAGATGCTGAAAGACAAGACCCATGATCCTTGACCCTCAGGCCCTGTTGGCTGTGGCTTATGGGAGTTGTAGTCCCTAGGCACCTGGAAAAGGAGCAACCATCACGAGCTGAGCCGACCCTTCAGTTTCATTGGGTTCACTCGTGCCAGCTTATCATTTCGAGGTCCATGGGGACTACAACTCCCATAAACCACAGCCATGCCTCATTCATCATGCATGCCATCCCTGTCCAACCTTCTTGCAATGCCATGTTACCCATAATAACCGTCTCTTTATCCCCATTAGCAAGACCCTCCCCACTTCCAGGAATTACCCTTTATAATGCCCCATTATATGCAATGCATCCCCCCCAATTTTTTTGCAACATTACCCATAATGCACCGCGGGCGCCCCTATTCCGTCCGCTCAAACCTCGTATCCCCTCTTTTTCGCTTGAACCAACGTGCCTCCCCTACTGCGCATGCGCCCACCCAATCCCACCTTCCGCCCCGCCGGCTGGAGGCAACGGGCGTTAGCGCGCACGCGCGGGACTGCCTACCGGTTGGAGCGGCGACGTGGATTTCCCCCTCCCGCGCGTGCGCAGAAGGCTCTACTCCGCCGCCCGTGTGTTCCAGGGTTGACGCATGCGTCGTAGCAGGGACCGCCGGGCGGCCGAGCAGCAAGCATCACAGCCAGTCAAGATGCGCTTGTTTCCGCCGGCCGGCCACCAGAGGGAGCATGCGCAATGGCTTCCTCCGCCGAAAAGGCTGCGAACAAAGGACCCGAAGGTGCGCCCGAGGACTCGCGAGTTCGAATCCCGCCTTTTCCAATTGGAACCCTCGGGTAGATTGGCCTCTAAGGGGGGCCAAAGGAGCGGCCGAGCTCATTAAAACAACGCCTTAACTGTGATTATTCGAACAACCTCCCCTCTTAAGATTTAGAAGCAGGGAAGAGGCTTTCTTCAACGCAAAAGGGGAAGGGCACTCTGCATAGGCTCAGAGGCACGCTTCTCCTCGGCTCTTTTAGATCACCTTGGACGTGACGGAATGAAACAAGGTTCCGGAGCCAGCTAAGAAGGGGCGAATAATAACCACGCAGGCACCTCCGAGGTTGCATGATGTCACTTGTTTAAAAACGAATAAATCGCAGGTTCCTCGGGGCGGAAACCTTCCCTCGCAGGCCAGGCTGGTTTGTCTTCTTCCATAAAGCATGTGCTGCATAAGCAACCCGTACAATGCCTAACCCACGCACTCACCCCAACGCTTCCAAAGGGGGGGGAAGAAAGGTGGGTTGGGTTGAGGGTTTTTTTTCCTAGGGAGCATGCGCATTGCTTGCAGTCCCTCTTCCCCCCCCCCCCCCCGTGAACATCCCTCCCTGACGGCTGGGCTCTTGGCCGCAATAGACCGAGGCGTTTGCAAGGGAGCCGGGAAGGGACGGAGGGGATCGCGCACAGAAGCCGGGAACAGCAGCAGCAGCAACAGCGCCCCCCCTAATCTCCTGCCTGCACTCCTCCCTCCCCTCCTTTTGGACCCCCTTCCCTGGGGGAGTCATGGCCGAGGGAGACGATCTCCACTCCTTCACCTCCATCATGGATGCCCTCGTCCCGAGGCGTTTGCAAGGGAGCCGGGAAGGGACGGAGGGGATCGCGCACAGAAGCCGGGAACAGCAGCAGCAGCAACAGCGCCCCCCCTAATCTCCTGCCTGCACTCCTCCCTCCCCTCCTTTTGGACCCCCTTCCCTGGGGGAGTCATGGCCGAGGGAGACGATCTCCACTCCTTCACCTCCATCATGGATGCCCTCGTCCGGATCAGCGTGAGGATCGGGCCCACGGAGGTGGGGGGTGGATGGGGAGG